TATGTGTCAGATGTCAGTGTCAGAGTGTATGTGTGATGTGACACTGATGTCATCTATAACGTGTTCATTTTTATTTGACACAAGAACATGTCACATCCGTTCTGTCGTGTGTTGTGTGCACTGTATCAGGTACAAGTGTCACGTGTCACGTGTCACGTGGCGTATGTCATTTGTCATCTGTCAAGTGGTGCGTGTTGTGTGTACTGTGCCAAGTGCATCGTTGCATACTGCTACAAACATGCCACACTTTAGGAGATACCTATACTCCTTCGTATTCCAGTGTCGCAAATCACCTATCACGTGTCACGGGACACGTACTTTTGTGTCAGATGTCACCAGCCCAATGTCATGTATCACGTGTCACGTGTCACTCCAGAATCCGTTGCATGATTCACATACCCCAACCGAGTTCACCCGAAACTCATATTACACTTACTGCATCCCACCACAATCCACAGTTCCTTGGCTCAAAACGTACACTCAAAAAAATTACACACACCTTGAGTATGCGTATGAACACCTATGACACTATCGGGTATTCCAACCCTGCACCTGCACCATGCCCCAATAATTTGGACTTCGGACTCACATCGCGCATACTTTTAATACATGCCAGATTTGTGGTTAAATCACGCGTACTTTTAATACATGCCAGATTTGTGGCTAAATCATGCGTACTTTTAATACATGCCAGATTTGTGGCTGAATCACCGTACTTTTAATACATGCCAGATTTGTGGCTAAATCAACGGCCGTAAACGTCGTGGCCGACGTGACACTCGAGAACGTCGACACCGAAGAAACACTCTACGAAAAGTACGAGCACAAATTCGCGCAGTACGAGGAATTGGGCAACATTGTGGGCCTACCACGCGACCTCAACATCCGCAACCAGTTCTTCAAGAACTTCCAGTACTTGAAGGTACATGGATGATATAACTGAAGCTATTAGGTTTGAAGGTTCTATGATACGTATACCTATCCATATCTAGTTCTTCAAGAACTTCCAGTAATTGAAGGTACATGGACGATATAATTGAAGCTATTAGGTCTGAAAAGTCTATAATACTTATACCTATCCATATCTAGTATTTCAAGAACTTCCAGTACTTGAAGGTACATGGATGATATAACTGAAGCTATTAGGTCTGAATGTTCTATGATACGTATACCTATCCATATCTAGTTCTTCAAGAACTTCCAGTACTCGAAGGTACATTAAAAAAGATGATAATGATATAACTGAAGCTATTAGGTCTGAATGCTCTATGATACGTACACCTATCCATATCTAGTTCTTCAAGAACTTCCAGTACTTGAAGGTACATGGATTTTATAGCTAAAATTATTAGGTCTGAATGTTCTTTGGTACATATACACTCAATCTTCAATCTTCCCGTAGGTCGTATAAGACGTGTTTTTCTCAGCCCGTATATTGATCTGATCTTCTGCAGATGTCCGTTGACATCCGGCTATTCAGAGAATCTGAGCATTTGCCGGGTGCGGTGATAGTCCCTGCGAGTGATATGGACATCCTGCACACGTGTACATTCACATACGCATACGCATATCATCTCTCTGATAGTTCTTTATAAGCCGCCCCATATCACCTCATAGATTGAACCAAACCCATGCAGGTGCCCGCTAACACCCGACTATTCGGAGATTCTGAGCTTATGCCGGGCGTGGTAGTGGTAGCGGAGGGTGCCTTAGATGTATACAAGCGAATGGGATCAGTGACTGAGGCTGAAGCAACACCCGACAACTCCACGGGCAATGTGAACACGGACTGGCGCAAGTACAAGCGCGTGTCAATCCATACAAAGAGCGTCAAAGGTGTGTTATAGGTGTGTAAAGTGGTGATGTGCTGGGCTGTGTACTTGTGTATAGGACAGAACGAAGGTTTGATTTGGTGCTCATGGTAGTCAGTGGTTGGTGTCTTGCGCACACACACTGTGGTATAGGTTCGAGGCATGTTGTGTGTGTTTATAAAGAGATTTATTAGAGGCGTGTTATGTGTGTCTAAAAAGGGATGTGTATTGTATAACCCGCGTTCCTGACTGTCTTGTAGCAATGCGATGCTGTCTGTATACGTTCAAGTGGTTCTGCGTGGTGTAGCTATTTATATATATATGTTTCAGGGATATAAATATATATATATATATATACACACACACACACTATTTATATATATATATATATATATATGACAACACACACACACACACACACACACATATATATATATATATATATATATATATATATATAGACAACACACACACAC